ACCCTAAACCCTAAACCGTAGCACACCGGCAACTTCTTGCCTCCCGCGTTGGTATACGAGAGCCGCTCCCACTCACCGGTCGTATCTGCACTGACCTCCATCGCACAGGGCTCAATTTGAGGGGTTTAGGGTTTAGGCTTANNTTAAGGTTAGGGTTTTGGGCTTAAGGTGTAGAGTTTAGGGTTTAAGTTAAATGTAAGTTTAGGATTTAGGGTGTAGGGTTTAGGATCCCCTCAGAGAACAGAGGCCAGTCGAGAGCTTCGGAAACGCAACCGGGCGCCAGGATGGATCCAGAATGGTAGGATCCTGAACCCCATTTACCTGAACCGTAACCCTAAACCCTAAACCCTAAACCCTAAACCCTAAACCCTAGACCCTAAACCCTAAACCCTAAACCCTAAACCCTAAACCCTAAACCCTAAACCCAACCCCCACCCCTCATTTAAAGGAAACTACAGGTGGGGAGTTTAGGGTGTATAGGGCTTCTATAAGGCTTCTAGAAGGTATATAGACCTTCTATAGGGCTCCTATAACGGTAACTACCCACCTGAAATGTCCCAGACTCATACCACCGGAACCCAAAGCCTTCACAGCCTCTGAAGATGTCTTGCGAAAAAACCCTCCTAAGAGAAATCCGAATTCCTATCCCTAAACCCAAGACCCTAAACCCTAAAAACAATCCCTAAACCCAATCCCTAAACCCGTCTCTAAGAGCAGGGCCGGGAGAGGGGGACGGTTGGGATTCCAAGGCGCCTTAGCGGCGGAAGGTCTGGCTTCTTCGGAACGGGTTCCGGGTTTCGGGGCTTTAGGGTTTAGGGCTTGAGGGTTTGGGGTTTAGGGCTTTAGGGTTTAGGGTTCAGAGTTCAGGGTTTCGGCTCGAGAGATGGATTTAGGTGGTGAGGGTATTGGGGGCTTTGAGGGATTCAAAGCTTTAGGGTCTTGAGGGTTTCCGAGCTTGACACTGAGGATCGGGCTTTGGGGTTAGGACTGCGGCAGTTTGGCTTTAGGGTTTGGGTTTTAGGG